AACTGGTAGTGGCATTAAAAAAAAAAAAAAAAAAAAGGTGGATTAAATGGGCACTAAGACTGAGTTACTCTCTGACCCTAAGGGTACTTCTTAAAGATGAAGATTGTAGCATTCTGGTTGGGTGGCTTGTGGTGCCATCTTGTACCTATTTTGCAGACGAGCAAAGGAACTTAGTTTCTAGGGCTATCAATCAATACCTTTTACAGCCATGAATTTAACATGAAAAAGGGCATTTCCATACAAGAAAAAAAAACAACAGCCAGTGACATGCAGAGGTATGCCCCAAGTTAAATGTTATTACAGATATAAAGTATTGAAAATCCAGTGTTAAACATCTGTACATACCAGATTCACTGCGGGTTCTTCTAGAAGAGGTAGTGGGTCTAACACTCGAATACGTGGAGGTCTGTTTCTCTTCTAAGTCCTGCATGCCTTCCTATTAAAAAAAAAAAAGGAAGAACAAATAACAAAAGTGTTAACTAAAACAGCACAAGATACTACTGTTAATCTTCCAATTGCATCCAAATCTCAGTGCCAAAGCTAATAAGATTATTAACTTAAAAATCACGGTGTTAAAAAACACATCAAGCAGCTAGATCACCTTTAGAACATTTCCTTTTTCAAGAGCAGAGCTGGCATCAGTCTCCGATGCGTAAGAAGCTGTAGATTCTGAAAAAGAAAAATACATAATGCAGTGCATACTTTAGGCTCAAAGTACAAGCTGAAAAGTGAAATAAAACAAAATAATTGTAGGCACTGATGCAGCAAATACTTAAATTTCACAAATGTATAATTTTGAAACAATGGAAAAATAAATCAGTTTATACTTTTAAGTGTTTAAGGCTTTTCTGTAACATTACAAATGAGAAAGATAAAAATCTCGTTTTAAAGGTCACACCCTTATTATGAGCTTTTTAATGTGCTCAGAATTATAGTCCTGTCTGGTTTGTGTTTTGGGGATTTTCCACAGATGAAAAAAATATTGTGAGAAGTAAAAGTATTACACAATAATGTATAAATAACTGGTGCAATATTAATGCTGAATATTAAAAATAAAACATAATTTTAAACTTATATCAACATAACTGTACTATTCTACTCATTAGGAATCATACTGAATTACAAAGGCTTTAAACCACGGGTGTTCAAACAAAAAACTCTCCATCCAAAAACAGAAGTTAACTGAATACTGTCTGTTCTGCAAGGCATGGCAATAAAAGACTACAACCAACCATTCTAAACGATCTTACCTTGTGGACTGACAGCTACCAAGTTTCTGGAAATCATTGAATATACTTTCCTTGGAGGGGAACAAGACAAACAATTTGTAAATCAGAAGTATAGTACACCAGCTCATATATAATGTTTTAAATTTATCTATGCTGAAACGTTTTTTGTGACTGATGATCAAAGCTGGTCAAAAAGGGGGGGGGTTCTGTGAATACATACAATAGAAAATGGAAAAGTTCTCTCTTGCTTGATTATTTTTTAATGTTTGGAAGCTAGCTGTTTCATTTTTTTGGTGAAAACAAACCTCACTTTTTAACCTTTGCCTTCCCCACTTTTTTAAAGAATAGGAAAAGGCAAAGCAGTAGCAAAATTTACTCACCAAAACAAAAGGTTTGTTTTGAAATTTAAAAATATATATATTATGGGAACTATTTTGTAAGAGTTTTGGTTTTCCCTAGAAATGCCCTCTCACCAAATCATTAGTTTGATGAACCTAGTCATGGTTCAAATTATTTTTAATGGACAGTTTAGTGTCTGTATGCTGTAATTATGTTGCTGTTACTCAATGGTTGAGTGGGCAAAATAAAAATTCTTCAGAACAGAGAGCAGCCTAAACCTACTGCACAATTCTGAAGTTTGTAAATCTTCTGAGGTGTGGCAACTATGGAAATAAACCTAGGATGAGATGGGTCTTCAGAGGAAGACCTGGACAAGGTGGTATGCAATTATAAAAATGGTTTCATGAAAATAAAAAAAAAAATGCAACAAATTACAGAACACAGCATAAAGTTCACTTCACATTACTTTAACTTCAGTATTGATCATTCATGAGGAATACAAAAATGTTACCTGTGCTCTTTTACTGAAAAGCTTGGTACTCCAAAGAGATCCCCAAGATGATCGTTTTCACAGTGGACAATATGCTGCTCTCTTTCATCATACAATTGTTTGGTCATAATATATTGGCCAAGATAGAACATTACCTATAATACAAGTCAAACATATTGACATTAAGTATGTTTAACCTTGTAGCACAGAACTAACCAAAATCCCCTATTATCAAACCCACTGAGAAGTCTGCAACTTCCCTTACACAGCAATTTTCATCCACAGGTCTCAGTTCTGTACAGTTCCCCATTTTGCAGGTGAGCAAGCTGTAGTTTACATGTTAAGTGACTTGTTCAAGGTTACAAAGCAAGTCAACTGCAGTCAGGAACAGAACTGTTTCCCGATTTCCTATGCCCAATCCAGTGAGTGAACTATACTACTACACTTGTTCACTCATAAATAAAGGAGAACGAACTTGTAAGAAGGCAATTTACTGTTATCCATCTTTATTCATGGGATGTTTTGCTTACTTACCTCCTTCATAGTAAAAGTATCCTTTTCTGCCCCAGCAAACTTCAACAACTTCAGCAACAAAGGTTTTGGTCTAACCTGAATAAATAAATGAAAACAACACATTTAATTTAGAAAGTTATAAATGCTTCCTAAAGCATCTAAAGCACTTTAAAAAACTGTATGACACGTGTACAAAGCTATGTTGAAAGGAAAGTTATTCAGGTTGCAAAGTCAAACATTTGAAAATTACCACATAAAAAATTAATTCTTTTCTTTAAAAAAAAGTAAATAAAAGCCCCCTATGACATGCAACTGTAACCATCCCTCCATGAACCCTGAACGGCACAGACTGCTTCCATTGGAGCTACAGGAACAGCTACAGTAGCTGGTTGCAGTAGAAGGCTATCATCCCATAGGTATACAGGGATACTGTGTTAAGAGAGTTCAGACTACCTTTCTGACCCCCTCCCAGAAACGCAAGAATTTCTGTAGCAGATAATGTCCAAAGAGGAGCACAAGACATGCCATTATGGCTATCCTAATCCTCAGTCTTTCTACTGGTATCACAACCAGGTGTGTAACAGTTACAGTCTGCTTGATGTTAGATGATAAACTTGGGCACTGATGGAGATAAACCCAGTCAGCCTCCTCCCTCCATCCCTCCACCAAGTACACCTGTTCTGACCTGCCTCTAAGTACTCCCAACGCCAGTGGTAGCACTGCTGCCTCAGTGGCAGCACACATCTAGTTTTAAAACTTTATGTACACTTATGTGTACACAGCCAACATTTTTTTCTGAAGTTCTCAAGTGACAGAAGGAAAAACAGTAATTTTCAATAGGCTCTCTCAGCAAAGCCTAAGAAGAATTGCACAGGCCTCAAAACCCCAGATACTTGGAATCATAGAAACCCCAGATACTTGGAATCATAAAATTAGGTTTGGAAGGAACCTCAGGGAGGTCATCTAGTTCAACCCCTTGCTCAAAGCAAGATCATTCCCAACTAGATCATCCCAGTCAAGGCTCTGCCTAGCCAGTAACAACCTCCACAGACGGAGATTCCACAACCTTTTTAGCTCAGTGCCTCCACCTGTACCCACATTTCAAATGCCTGCTGTAAACAGCAAAACGTATCTGAGCTTCTTCAAAATAGCTAAAAGAACCTTTTTACATAGAAAAGAATTAACCTAAATACTGGGTTGCTACTAGACATCCCAATACACACATATTTTCACCGATTACTTTCATGCAAGAGCTGTATGCAACACGCAAGTTCTGTAAAAAGTGAACATCCCACCAAGAGGAAAAAGCATACCACGTGTACACAGGAGTTTACAAAGCCCTGCAACTAGGCCTATGCTTGAAGATTCCTGAGTATACCTATAGACATGCTGCACTAATGTCTGAATTAGCAGCAGCATGGCCACATTACAGCCACACTGACCAAAACCCTCTGCAACATGCTTCAGCATGGCACTGCCTGGTGCCACACAGCTATACCCTCTGTGTCCGCAAGGAGCCTGCCAATCTTGGGGCTCTAACACCAGAGTCCAGTCTTTCAGGCATGATTGCAGACTGGGCTTCACACTGATGATCGGTTCCATGAGAAAGCCTAAAAGTCTCTATTTCCCCATCTTTTTAAAAAGTAGCTTTTATATCCTACTGCACTTGCAAGAGAGTAGAAAAACATGCATGAGAGAACAGCATCTTCCTAACACTTTACCACCAAAGCCTGCCACAACTGAAAGCTGGCTTGTGCCTGTATCAATCATGCTGTAGCTCCAATAAGAGCTAGAACTATAAAAAGTTAGGGTTGGAAAGGACCTCAGGAGGTTGCCTACAGCGGAAAAAAAAAAAAAAAAAAATCATGAGACTCCTGATTTCCAAGTCAAATTAACTCTGACGCATGATTTCCTGATAGACAAATCAAGCCTTGGGATTTTTTTCTTCTGGCATGTTTAGAAAGTGCCACGCTAGTAAGTCTGTGGAGGGGAAGAGACAGGGGGACAGAGAAAGGGCTACATCCCCCCCAGCCCTACTGCTGCCCCTCACTCCTGACCCACAGTACCCCACATCCTGCCAGGGTGTACGGGGACCTCCCTCTCCAGGCTCCAAACCCCACACACCTTCACAAATAAC